AAGTTTTATCAAAAGTGAAATTGCTTTATGAAAAGCACACAGGTAGAATAAGAAGTAAGGTATTGGTTATTTTTCAACATTACAAAAAACATGAACATGACAACATGAAATGTATAAAAAAGGCTTATGTTTCATACTGATCTTTGATTTTTGCCTCACTTTTAGAATTTTCTTCAAGAAAAATGAGGATTAACATTATTTTCTTCCCGTATAGTTACAAATTTAAATTAGATCTGTAAAACATTACTTTCTCTTCATTGTTATTAGGGGCTATGGAATCCATTTTAATGCCTGTCAGCCTCAGACCTGATACTGTGTGAGCTGATGGTGGGAGCCACGGTGTCAGTCCCCCTCTTTGAGGATCTTCCTCTTTTTCACTGAATCTTTAATTTTATCAGGCATGATGTCTCTCTACAGGACTGCCTACCCCTGCCAGTTAACATGCCTAAAGTACATGAAATAAAGTCTCACCACGCTCACCTCTATGAAGCATTCTAGTTGTAATTATCCCAAGACAGATTCATTAGTCCTTCTGTCAGGTCATCGTATATCCACACTATTAATTCAGAAACAAAAGTGAATCCCTACAAAAGTGAGGTGAGGGATTAAGTCAACTAGACACTACTGGGGAAGGGTAGGAGCAGAGCTCAAACTACCAGTTGCATGCCAGCCTGATAATGCCTTCGTGGTGTCATAAGCTGTGACAGTTGGATTCGCTTTGCCAACTAGGCCTCCATAGGAACATGTGGGCAGAGTTTAGTCAGGTCAAAGCTTCATTGGAAGGCACTTAAGACACTTTCCTGGGCTGGCATCCCATCTCTCGTCCTGCTGATTAGACCAGCGAGCTGCTGCTTGAGCTAGTTCTTTGCCTCAACTGGGTGCTACACTACCTGTGGACCAAGCCAAGCCATGGATCATGTTGCTAGCGCTTGAGGCTCCTTTGGGACCTGCTTCACTGTGCTGCTGTTGTATACATTGCTTGAGTTCGAGATCCCATCAGGGCTTGCTCTGCTAAGTTCCTTGTTGCCACCCCACCATGCTTGTCTTGCTTGAGGGCTTCTGCTTCCTTGACCTTAGACAGCAGCTGGCATGAGCTGAAAGACCTTGAGTATATTAACTGTTCCCCAAAAGTGAGTTGAACTGAGCCCTCTGTTCAGCTGTGTGGACTAATAAGCCATTCTACCATTATATTCCTTCTCTCTATATATATGGATGAAATCGTAAATGTCCTGGTTTTGTTCCTCTAGAGAATCCTGCCTACCACATAAGCCTGTTGGTATAAGAGAGAGACTGATCAGGGTCAAATTCTATGCCCCATCGCCTTCTGCCGCAGCTGGATTTTGCATCTGGTTCCTCAATCTTTTGCTGCATCGCCTGCTGATGTGAGGAGCCATCAGCACTATCAATGGTGGGTTTATTTAGCCGCCGACTTCAGACCTGTTCATCCACTAGCCTGTGATTCTTGCTGTCTCTGCTTACTCACCTGCTTCCTGTTCATCAACTTCCACGTGTCAGGAGAAACCTGACATGAAATCAACTGGACTTCCCGATTTCTACAACCGTGCAGGCCACTTCTTGAAATAAATCTCTTTTTATCTACAAACGCACACAAGCATCAGCGGTTTGCTTCTCTAGAGAACCTAATACACTATCCAACTGCCGTATTTCACGGAATCCCTAAGGCACATCGTTATTTTATGTGTCACCAATAAAGAAAAAGTAACCCAAATGAAAGGATTTTATGCAAATGATTTTAAAGCGCATCTTCATTTTAGAGATGTCAAAATTAAAAGTGCATTTCAGAATTATTGAGAGATGGCATAGGGTTCATAGAACGAGCTCTAAAATAGCTAAATCCATTAGTAATCAATGATGTATCTGAGTAAAGGGCCCACGTGGGCCCACGTACCTTAGTTTAGGATAACTTCACATATAGGCAGTAGGCCTTGATGTTGAAATTGAAGGGATCTTAGGAAGATCCAGGGTCCTGGAGAATCTCTCAGAATTTGATTACTATTATTTTATTTACATTTGAGTCAATTGAATTTACATAAAACACAACAAGCATGCCCTTTAAAAATGCAAATGCATAATGAGAACTGACAAAAGCCAGCAATCAATGTCTACATTTGTCAAAGCATTTAGCAATATGCTTATTTGCTAAATTCCAGTATTCATTCATTCATTCATTCACTCAATCCTTGGTTGAAGGCAGAAAGACATGCTTTTTGCTTAACATGAACTCACTGCCTAGTAGAAGTGACAGACAAGTTAATGGATGATAAAATTACAGTGTGATTGTTGTATTGTACCACATTGGTTAAACTGGAGAGCAAGTTTATCCAAATCCACTTCCGTGTGTGGTTCCAGGTGAAGTTTGGACGAGAGAGGAACCTGTATTTGATTTGAAAGACAGAAGTGGAGCAGTGGCCACTCTAGTCAGTTGCAATGATGGGTCAAGCAGAGATGTTTAACTTCCCTTGTTCATTTCCATTTCCACGTCCAGTTCTTCCCAAACGCTGACCCAATGGCAGTCCCTCCTTACTATACAGAAGTAACAGTTCTCTTTGATCTCCTTGTGAATTCTCCTTTGCAGTTCTATTTCAACAACCAGTAAGGTTAGGGCTCTCAGACTGAATTGCCAGGGACTCACCTGATACTACAATTTCGCCTCTGGAACTTTAGTTTCCTATTCTTTCCACCATTGGATAACTGACAACTCCTGAAATAAAGCGCCAATCCCATGACACACATGGTTTCTCTGTTCCCCTGACTGATCTTAACTGATAGAGCATGTAACTGTTCAAACAAGAGCATATAAATATCACTTAATCCAGGCGGAGAATGTTGGCACTAGGGAAGGGTTTATATGGCCAAAAACGAAGGCGGAGGGACCAGATCATTAAAACCGAGGAAACAATTTACAAAGGAACGGTTTTGTGAGCATGTCTGGCCTCCTTATCCATTAGTGTCTGACGTGAAGCTTAGTGTATGGATTGTGAAGAGTAAAAAGGAGGCAAGGGCCAGACCGTATGTAGTTATGCCCTGGGCTGCTAACCCCAGGGTCAGCAGTTTGAAACCACCAGTGGCTCCTCAGGAGAAAACGGAGGCTTTCAACTGTCGTAAGGAGTTACCATTTCAGAATCCCACAGGGACAGTTGTACCCTGTCCTAAAGGGTTGGTATGAGTTGGAATCAATTCAATGATACTGTGTTTGGAGAGAAGTGTGGCCAACTTTCCCATCTCTTATTTGGAAGATCAGCAAGTGGAAGGTTTGAATGTAATGTTTTCTATCCTCTGCCTCAAGGTATTTGTCAGAAATTGGTAGAGATTTAACACACAGTGCTTATAGCTGTTAACTTTACATAAATAATTTCTGAGGCACATGATTGATTTAATTCCAATCATGGTATGAAGCGTTTTATGATTTGAGGCTATATAACTGAAAATGTCTTTCTTTTGCTTTTGTCCATAAACAGTAGCCGGTCTGAGTTCAGAAATCAAGATTCTAATTCTTTCCCACGGGCTCCTGAAAATGTAGTTATTGTCCAACATTTAGAGCTGGCAAAGTGGTGGGGCAGTGCTAGTCAGATTCTAGCCATTCTTAACTAAGAAAGAGATCATAATTTTCTATTTTCGCAGGGCAATCCGAAATTTCACCGGGATCATTCCCAGACAAGGACCTGCTTCACATATTTTCTTTCCGACCCCCAGTAAGCGACTTTCAAGTGGGCATCAAATATCTCAGTTGGGTGCATTTCCAAGATGTCAGCTTAGAGATATATTGTCTGATCTTCTGTTAGTGTTTCTCCTCCGCTCACAGCACTAGGATTCTCTCAGGATCCTGGTAAGAGAATAATGCATGTTCTGTGGTGGTTTTTCTGTCACTTATTCACTCTTTCCTAATTTTGTGTCTTTAAAATGTTGCTCACTTGGTGGAAGAGTTCCCTGAGTAGGTGTTCAGTTCATTACTCTTGCTTTTAACCATGTCCACTCATTGTGCCAGCAATTTTTTTTTGCCCCTAAGAAATCTGCCCTCACATCTCTCTCATTTCTCGGATGTCTATTGGGGTTCATAATGATCTGTGATTGGTATCTTGGTGGGCTTCCCTTTTGGGTGTAGAAGCCAAGAAACAACCGGCAGATAGACATTGCAGCAGTGACCTGTGGAATTTCTAGGGAGCAGTCAAGTTCCCAGAAAAGTCAATTGCCAAAGGATGCCTAAGGGATGAAGTAGGAGTCGTTTTGCCAGATTTAGCAACAAACAAAAAACCCACAATGTCCAGTTAAATTTGAATTTCAGAAAATCAACAAATACAGTTTGTTTTATAAGCAGGTCTCAAATCTTGCATGGGACCTAGTTCAGTAAAACATTTATTTTTCACTTGAAATTCTAATTTCCCTGGCTATCCTCTGTTTCTTCAGGTGGAGCCATAAACCCCTTTAGCTCACTCCCTTGCCATAAGTATTCTTTTCTTCTAAGCACCAGTGAATAGTGCAACCTTAGAAAGTTGGGCATGTACCAGTTGTAAGGAAAAGTAAGAAAGTTGTTCCTAAAGAGGTCAAGAGTGAAGGTGAACGGGAGTAATAGCATGCTCTTTGTTTCTCTGGATTTGATTGTATTTGTTTCTCTGTATTCTCTGTAGTTGATTGTGGGGCCCTGCATTCATAGTCAGCATCAATCCCCACCTCAACTTTTCTAGAATTCTCCTTGGTCCCCTGCCTTAGCTGCTTGAAGTCTGAGGTTTAGGGGAACCTGTCCCTTTACTTCCCAGCCAGGCCCTTCCTTTGCCTGTCTGTAAAAGGAACACAAAAGACAGAGTGTATGAAGACGTGGTCAAATGGACTCAATAGTACTAACTTCAAACGTCCTATAATTTCCCCCTCTTTTGTGGTCTGTGGTCTCAAAAGAAAATCAGATCTGACCGGCCCATTTGGTTTCACATCAAGGAACTCAAGCAGGATGATTAAGAGACAACGGGAAGGGGCAGTTTACATACCTCTGCAGGAAGACTCTGACCCGGACCACAAACCGCTGGGTAGGCACAAGTGGATGCTGCTTCCCACCAGGTCAAATCCAGGGAGACATCGGACCCCACAGGCTGCATTGAAGTGGTTGTTGCAAGTGTTCTGGGTAAAGTAACCGTTTTCGGGAGGCTTCAGCATGGGGCAGTAGACAACTACGCACAGAATACAAGCAAAAGCATCATTGGCCTTTGTCTGTGATACATCCTGTTTTCATGATTTGTTTTTAAAGGAAATATATCATATGCATCTCAATTCCCTTCAGCATTCTCATTTACTGCATTTAATTTTCTAAGTGGAAGAAAAACCTTTACATCTGACTCCTATTAGGTATTTACTTTTAATGAAAACTTTCATGCAGGAGAAATATTAATCTTTCAACATTTAAAACGTGTTTCTTTTCATAACTACCAGTTACCCTAGTGGTTGACCATTGTACATCACTAGTGATCCTATTTTTAAACCCCAAATGGCATCAGACAGAAAAGCTCACGGAAGTGCAGCAGAGTATAACTGCTATCAATGCAAACTTCATAACTTCTTGAGCAGGGCATATATCATTTACAAAAGTTTGATATGAATAAAAATTAGGATACTTAGTATGAAAGAAAAATTAATTCAACTATCACCAGAGCCCAGATCAGCTCGTTTGTCATTAAAACATGTGCATAAAACAGTGGCTTTTTCCTCTTAAAGCCACGTCAGACTTTTCTCCATGTACCGCACCTCTTTGAGTTCATTGTTTGGTCACTCAGGGCCTCTATCTGGAGCAAGCTGAGGCTGCGTCCTGTGATGATAAACGATGCTATGCACTCTAAACACGCCCGCCCCCCACCACCACCACTGCATGATGAGCGACAGGGAGGGGAAAGCTGCTTATCAATGCGTCGGGCACCAGCATCATTCATTGGCCTCCCAAAGACCAGGCGGAGGCTGACCTTCGCAGCTCTGCCCCGAGGCCCGGTAGCCCTCTCTGCAGACGCAGTCCTCTGGGGCCGTGCTTCCTGGAGGCGACGTGTGGTTTTCATCTGGACACGGAATGCAAGTGCTGATGCCTCCTGGGGAGCCTTCAGGTTTGTAGGTCCCTGATGGGCAGGCTGCGGGCAGACAATGAACAAAGTAAGACCATTGCATGTGGTATGCTTGCCATCTGATATTTAATAAGACTTTGGAAGCAAAGCAGAGAGAGAGAGACCTAGAAATCGAATGTAATTCAAGGAAGAACAAAAATAAAAATGTTTCAAACGAGTGATGTAGTTTGTTATTTGTATATTACTTCATGGGGCACAATTAATTATAATAACACCACCACACAGCATAGGAAGTCTGGGCGTATATGTGGGAAGGCTGAAAATAGCAACATCTATGGAGGGACTGCAAGAAAGCAGTGACCCTGGATTTTTAAGGACTTTCAGCAATGTGGCTCCCCCATCGGGCTACACTTGAACCTGAGTCTGCTCCACGCTCTGCTCTCCAACAGAGAGGAACCATCGCGGTGCTAAGCACGGGTTCATTGTTTCTGTTCAAAGCGCTGGACAAACGATGAAGAGCCAGTGACGGGCTTGAGAAAAACGATCGATAAGATGAGAAATCGACACTTTCAAGAAGGACAAAATTGTGAGCGCGCTTTTCCCAGGATCAAGGGGGAAAAAAGATGAAAAGCCGGGTCTAACTGACCTTTCTTTCCATCCTGCCTCAGCATTAACAGCGTAGCTGTGAATTAGTAACTTAATCTCCCTGGATTTACACATCTGTAAAATAACTCAAAATGGAGCATTCTATAGGGACTTGCAGTGCTCAGTTAAGTCAATTAAACCCAACGGGGTTCCATTCTGCGTTTGATTATGAGTGAATAGCAGTAAGCAAGTCGTGTATGTGCACTGATGATGTGGTAGTACTTTATATAAAGTGTCTTCTCACAGTATTAGTAAGCACCATTAATGTTATCCACGTGTGCAGTAGAGGGTCCGTGAGAAAGAGGAAGACCCTCGATGGGGCCGGTCGACACAGTGGCTGCAACACAGGGCTTATGCGCAGCAGTGGCTGCGTGGGTGGCAGGACTGGAGAGCCCTTCATTCGGTTGGGCATAAGGTCACTGTGAGTCAGAGCTGATCCAACGAAACCTCACAACATCAATAATCATTTATTAGCAAGTACCAATATTATGCATAGACATAGCATTTCTGCTTATAAAAGTAAGAACATGGAGTCTCAGATAGAAATGATTAGTTGAATTCGGTTATGTAGCTAATGAGTAATAATGCCAGCAATGATTTTTTGCAAATACCTATAATTCAATATGTCCCAGGGCACTGCTCCATGCATTTTATAAATATGATGTATTTTATAACTATTACCTTTGTGGTTTTCTCTCTTAAGTTCATTTTAGATTCTCCCTTTCATGAGTCTGTTTTCTCATTTTCAGATAAGAAAACTAAGGCACAAGAAGATAATAGGCCCAATCTAACAACAATTAGTTCTTTCGATATGGCCCTGATTGATGCTCATCCTTATGAAGAGATCACTGAAAATATGGGTGTTACACCAAAGTGTGGTGAAGAAACCAGATGGTGCCTGGCTATGAGAAAGAACAGTGTCTGGGGTCTTCAAGACTTGTCTTAAAACAAGCAGCCATCTAAGTGAGTCATCCACTAAGTCCGCAAGGAAGAAGCACGCCAGGTTGTGTGAGTCACAGATTGTAAGTGATAAAACCCAAATCCAAAGGAGGGAATGGTATCAGAGCTTAAATTGTGAAGACCCCATGTGTAGAAGGCTATGGGTGGCAGTGGAAGCCCCAAATCCACTTGTAGGGTCCCCACATGGACGAAGTTTCTGGTGAACCCCCTCTGATCAGTCCAGAGATGTGAATAGCCTTATGAAGACAGAGAACCTTGTAAAGGTGATTATGGCAGGTGTAATTAGGTTAAAATGTATTACCTTATCATTAGATCTCCCCTTTTGACAATTTAAGCTGTTTCAGTCTTTAATATTTTCTGCTTTCTTTTTGACTGAGGATTTTTCCATTTTGCTGGTTATTTTTTTGCTTAGTGTTTGTGTTTTGTATAGTTTTGTGTATATGACAACCAGGATACGTAAATCTATAGAGTCAGTAGCTGAGTTAATTATTACCTAGGGGTATGACAGGGAAAGATGGGGAGAAATGTGGAGTTAACAACAAGGAGGATGAAATGAAAATGTTCTGAAATTGATTTTGATGATGAGTGCACAAGTCTTCTTAATTTGATGGAATGATTAAATTGTATGATATGTGCAGTATAAGCCAATAAAATGATTTTTTTTAAGGAGTAACTTGTCAAAATTAGTGAGTAAATAAGCCCATGTGCAAAGATAATGTTAAATAATTTTAAAAATCTCCATGAATGATTTGATTTTAAAAAACAAACAAATCAGCAAAACTGTCCCAAGAAGAAAGAAACTACATCTGCAAAGAGATATGGGAGAGAGATAAAAGTTCAGACAGGAAAAGTGCCAAAGCTGAGGGGCCGACCCCAATCACAAGTATGTGGACAATCCCTCTCCCCAGGAAGAATGCACTTCAGAGGACAGCACTGAAGCTACAGCTCAGGGAGAGGAACATGTCTGATCAGAGCACACATGAGCAAATGAAGGGGGATGAAGAGAGAGTGGAGCATGTCCTGGCCCACCAAGCCCTGAGGATGATATTCCTGCTCAGAGCAGCCAAT